CATGGAGAGCATTGCGCCAATGCTGCGCAGGCTGGGATACAACCCCAATGCCAATCCACCAGATTATGGTCAACCAGATCCGGAAGTGATCAACAATACTCAACGGGTATATTCGAACACAGAACACAGTGCAGCTCAAGGATCAGAGTTGCTATTATTCAGTCATAACTTCCATTTGTCTGTCTTTCCTAGGTACTGCGAGGAGATTTTAAAACTCCCACGAGCCTGAAAAGATGGGCACAAGTGAGTGCATGCTTTTAAGTTGTATCATATACAAAACCGGTTGTACACAATCTACTACATGCCTTCTGTCATCAAAAGTTTATATTTGTTTAGCAAGTAAAAGGCCTTTTCTAAAAACCTCCCCCAACTGCACCAAATTGCATATTTTTGCTCAGTTTGGCCCGCTGAATAAAAAAGAAGTGTTTCTTCTTTCTCAAGTATGAGCTCCATGTTCTTCTATATCATAGTATATGAGCCATAAAAGCCTGATGTATCGAATATGATACTCAACAAAGTCATAAATGTGCATATCATATATATACTTTGAGTGATTTCTGGTTGTTGTCATTGCAAAAATGGCAGAAGTTGGTTTAAGAATGATTTATTTAGGTATGCCACTTTAAATTACATTATATGTCCCAATACTTTCTGTGGGCACTGTGTAAGTCTATATACTATGATTAGGCTTCATACATGTCCTTACACATATTAATTTTGAAAATATTAATTGTTTGACAGGTATCTCCAAAGTCAGTTTCTAAAGGAGGCCGAAACTGAAGAGAGTCCTACATTGATTGCAGTATGTGCTGGTGTTCCGCATTGGATAATTCACCACCATTTTGTGCCATGAAGGCCTTTCACAAGATACTGAGCAACCTGAGTAGGAAATAATGAGCATCGTTATTATGCAATAGCTGTGGTTACATGGGGTCTGATTTTGACATAGCCAGAATCTATTATAATAATTAGGCAACTAAGTCCTATTGTGTACCAAAATGATGTAATGTAATAGATTGATGTCAAAGAAACAAGCCTCACACAGACACTGGACAGACATCGACATTTTTACTACCTGATGCTCTCAGAAGAGTATTGTTTACTTTGTTTATAGAACAAAGTTTGCCATAAATCAATTACACTGGACTTCCTGAATATTGCAGTTTTTTATGTC